GGCGGTGGGAGCGCGGTCACGGGTGCAGCCAGTTCAGGCGATGGAGCGGGTGGAGCTGGTGTTGGTCGAGCGGGTGGAGAGACGGGTTCGGGTTTGACGGCCTTAAGTGGGGCTGGTTTCTCTACTTTAGTTGACGTGAAGATTTTCTTCACCTCAGCGGGTTTCTCCTCGGAGACCTTCTCCCCAGTGATGGTGCTTTTCACTGTATTGAACGTCTTTTCAACATCCGAAGCAAAACCGGTCACAGCGTCCTTTGTGTTGTTGAACACGATTTTGGCCGAATCCCAGGTCTGCTCGGCCGTCTGATACGCCGAGCCGATGTTATCAGAAGCTATTTTTGAGTACTGGGATACCGTAGCCGACACATCTTTTACCGTCGTTGAAACCTTTTCATATGATTCTTCGGCACCAGTCTTGATGTCGTTGACCGTTTTGCCCACCACTAAGACCGTATCTGAAGCCCGTTGTTTGATATCGTCGATCGAAGTGCTTTTCAATTTTTCGGCGGCATCGTGCACTTGATCGAGCGCTGGCTGACCACCGGGAACGTTTTCGATCCACACTTTTTTGAAGTTGTCGTCGTTAAGGGCGTAGTAGGCAGTACCAACATATGCAGTACCGCCCAGTGCGACGGTGCCAAACAACAACTTCCCCCACGGAAACCTCTTTGATGACGAAATCGAATCAGTTGATGTCCCGGTACTGTAAGTTTGTCGGCACTCCAACAGAGATTTTCTCTGCAAACATCAAGGAAAGCAAGAAGGTAAGTGAAAGGAGCTCCAACACACGCAGACCTATGCACTCACTATCCCCACACAAGAAACTCTCAGCAATCATATAACACATCCAGTATCCAACGTTCGTCTCGTTGCATTCCACACCCAGCACTTCCCACCCCCAAGTGCATCTGTGCATAGTGTTTTCTGCACGTTCATGTACGAACCTGCGTGTTCAATCGAGAGGCGGCCGTTCCACGAGATCGCAAGCACAAATTGGATCCTTGGTGGCATGAGTTTGCAGACGCAGTCAGCCGGGAGGCTCTTGATGCCCTGACCGGCCCCGACGTTGTTGTCCTCAGCATGTTGCTCGGCGGTCTTGCTCGCAAAGACTCTAAGTGTCGATCGTCGAACAAAAAACCCTGGTCACACAAAGCCCAAGAAACCCCTTTCGCAACTCTGTCCAACTCCCCTTGTCGCAATCCTCCTTTCCAACACTACGAAGACAAACACCAGTCGGTTCACGCTCTGCAATGCCATCACCAACAATGAATCCAAGTGCGGAAACTCCAAACGCGGCGGCAACGACGAATGTGAAAAGGAATAACGGGAAAAATGCTGCTCGCCCTGCTTTCGGAGGAGCCGGGGCTCTCAATCCATATACTGGCCGCCCTTATTCAGACAAGTACTTCAAGATTCTCGACATTCGAGAGAAACTTCCGGTCAATGCATATCGTCGTGAACTTGCCGGTCTGGTCCAACGCTTTCCGTGCACCATAGTTGAGGGAGAAACGGGGTCTGGCAAGACTACGCAGTGAGTACGTGTCTTTTGAACAATCTAGGGTGTTTGCTTTCCATCGATTTTCAGTGCCCTGAACATCATTCTGTTCTCCTTCTCACAAGGATTCCGCAGTTCATATTGGAAGATCTGGCCTCAGAGCTTGAAGACGGAGATATGATTGCGATCACGCAACCTCGTCGTATTGCTGCCACTTCCGTCGCAGCCCGCGTCGCAGAAGAGATGGAGGTGGAGCTTGGTGAAGAGGTGGGCTACAGTGTCAGATTTGATGAGAAGTCAAGGTACGCAGCCAGAACAAAAACCAGCTCGTTTCAGTTCATTCTGGAAGATCTATGAAATTAATTGGAACTTCTTTTGCCGTCCCACTCGCTTTTCTGAGAAGTGCAAAAACAAAATTGAAGTATATGACGGACGGTATGCTGCTCCGAGAGGCGGTCGTGGATCCACAGCTGTCGCAGTATTCGATTATCATCTTGGACGAGGCTCACGAGAGGACACTAGCGACAGATATTTTGATGGGGTTCTTGAAGCGCTTGTGCGAGACCACCCGCAAGCTGCCCAAGCGAAAACAGAACCGATCGACACGAGCGTCCCGTCATTCCTCTGCGGCGGCCTCTTCATCAGCGCCGAAAGATACGGAAATGGACGATGAGACAGAGACAACGGCTGAGGATATAGCTGCGGAAGCCAAGGGAAAAGTCCCCGTCGTCGCGTCTAGAAATAAACCGCTTCGTCTGATTGTTATGAGTGCAACACTCAACGCCGAAAAGTTTTCAACTTACTTTTGGAATGCCCCCATCATGACCGTCCCCGGTCGTGCGTATCCGGTCGAGATCATACATACCACGGAACCCGTGGAAGATTATGTGGAAGCCTCGGTCGATACTGTGGTTAAAATTCTATCAACGGAAGGACCAGGGGACATCCTCTTGTTCTTGACCGGGGAAGAGGAGATCGAAGAAGTTTGTCAGCGACTTCGCACGGTGTCGTTACGTATCAGTCGAGGTTCATCCGGAACGGGAGAGATCGTGGTGATTCCTCTGTATTCATCCCTGCCCCCTCACTTGCAACAGCGCATCTACGCCCCTCCACCACCGAATGGGCGAAAGATAATTGTGTCAACCAACATAGCGGAAACATCGTTGACAATTGACGGAGTTAGCTTCGTCATCGACCCAGGTATATAAGATTAATTCATCCAGATGTCAGCGAAGCATTTGTTCCTTGGTCTCTAATTCTGCTTTCACAACTTTTGGCCTGTAGGGTTTTCGAAGCAGAAAGTCTACAATCCGCGGATTGTGTTGGAATCCTTGCTGGTCTCCCCAATCAGTAAGCAGAACGCTGTACAGCGTGCTGGCCGCGCTGGACGAACCAAGTCTGGCAAATGTTTCCGTCTTTACACGGAAAAGTCTTTCACAGACCTCCCCGACGAGCCGTACCCCGCAATCCTCACATCCAACATTGCCTCCGTCGTTTTGTACCTTAAGAAACTGCGTGTCGATGACCTGGTTCGGTTCGACTTTATCACTCCACCCCCTGTGGACACTATGATTCGAGCTCTGGAACTTCTCCATTGGCTGGGCGCCCTTACGGAAGAGAACGTTCTGACCACCGTGGGATCCAAGATGGCAGAGTTTCCGCTTGATCCGCCACTAACGAAATCATTACTCGTCGCCGCGGATATGACGGAAATGCAGGACTGGACACCAACGCCACTTCCGGGCCGTGGAAGTGATAGTGGCTCGGCGGAACCGTTCAGCTCGATGAAGTCACCCCTCGATGCCATGTTGACGATTGTCGCAATGCTATCCGTGCCGCCTGTATTTTTGCGACCGCAATATCGCCAACGTCAGGCGGACGCGGCTAAGGCTCAGTTTTCCCATACGACAGGGGACCATATGACTTTGTTGAACGTCTTTGATGCATACTGCAATGTACGGTCTCAAGCGTGGATGGAGCGAAATGCAATGAGGGACGCAGCTATGGAAAATGAGGAAGGGGGGGTATCAAACGGGAACGGTGGATTGAGCTCTGCATCTCCCAAGGCAACTCAGTGGAGCAAAGGAGGCCACTCTGGACGTCAAGACGGTAAATTTTCGGAATCGAGCCGGATGTCGGGATCCCCCAAAAGTGGTCGTCGAAGTGACGCAAATCGACGCGATCAGAAGGCGGATACGCGGGCCCAGAAAGATCCAGTCGGAGCGTGGTGCACAGCAAATTTTTTGCATGAACGAAATCTGAAATCTGCCGTCGACGTAAGGTGTCAGTTAGCAAATATCGTGGGAAGGATTCTCAAAGGAGGAAACCGCACCGTCGTGCCGACAAGGACAACAGCACGAGGGTCAACATCAGTAGTGGTCTCTGATGACGCCGGAGAAAGGGATGAATCTATGAACCAAACGCCTTCAGATCCGAGCTCGTCACGATCCGATATGTCGGACAGCGTCAATCAACAAGATTCAAGTGCTGACGAAGCTGTCGGGCCCCGCCCTCACACGTCATTCACTCCAAATCCTCGGCACCGACAAGTTCCAAACATTCTGGACAAGATCTTCCGAAGCCTCTGCACGGGGTTCTTCATGCAAGTCGCCTTCCGCGAAAAAGATACAACCGCTCCTACATTTCAGACGGCAAAGGACAGACAAGCGGTGTTGTTGCACCCATCAACCGTCTTGGACCTAAAGACCATCTCCTCACCGTCGCTTTCGTCGTCACGCCCAGGCACCAGCGGAGGTCGGACCAGCAAGAAAAAGGAAGGAAAGGGAGGGAGGACAGGGAATAGAGGGGCAAATGAAGGACCACAAGCACCGGCCTCGTGGATTGTATTCCATGAAAGTGTCCTCACCAGTCGGAGTTATGTTCGTACTGTATCCGTGGTGGCGCAGCCTAGCTGTATTGTGGAGGTGGCCCCGGAGGGGTACTTTGGCCCGGATGAGTTGAGGCTAATGGGTGTTCGAATGCAAAGGGCTGCACAAAATGAAATGACGGGGTCAAGGCTGCAAGGGGCAGACGGTGAAGGAGGCCAAGGGCAGGCAGCAGGCGGAGCGAGTAGGAAAGGGAAGGGGAGTGCGGGCAAGAAAGGGAAAAGGAGAGGCTAATGATGCCAGTTGAACAATGGAAATACATTCTGTAAACACAATAGACGATTTCCGATTCATAATGATGGGGGAAGTAGGAGAGTAGACGTATGCTGACTCCCAACCACATGAAATGGCGGGCGGAAGTGCCGGAGATATTGATGTATGGGAGAACCGTGGCGTGAAGAAACAAAGGATCTTCCAGGCTTTCGCATCCCATCAAAGAAGGAATCAAGAGATATGCACATCCTCCAGCACCACAAGTCGTCAACTCAGTTTGGAAACAGTATCTGGACGGTGAATAGTTGGGAGGCAGTGGGATCCCACAATAAAAGTTCTCAATAGATATGGCAACATTCATAATACTCTAGACATTTACTTTCTCTGGGCAGATAACGCATGCCGGTGCATGCTGCGGACTTCAAATCCGTAGACCGCGAGAGCGGTAGAGGTTCGACTCCTCTTTCAGCCCGAAGGTCGGTATCGCGTCTGTGCCCTTTTTGGTATCTTTCCTTTTCGCCAGTGGAATTCTTTGCTGGTAGTAGTCCGAGGTCCTGCCCGATCTCGCAGTGCATGGGAGTTTTCATTTGATATCAGAAAGTCTGATGTAGCAGCGGGAAAAGTGAGTAAGTTCCGAAAGGTAGCAAATGGAGGCTATCCACGTTTTATGGTGGTTTGTCGAGAACGGAAAGTAATGCACAATGACATGTCAAGAAATAGGATCGATACTTAGCAGATCTTTATTAATCCTCTTATGGAATAGAGGTGCGCCTCTGGACCCTTAGGCTTCCTACGTATCTGTCTATGACAGAATCAAGAGGCGTCGACGTAGTTCTATCTGATACATCTCATCCATGCTTCGCTGCTATCTAAGCTAAACTATCCTCGGTTATTTATATGCATGATCTCCTATTGTCCATCGAGCCTATTTTCCGAGTCTCCCTTGTCTCATTCCAACAACGTTACCGCAGTTGTCGTAGAGTCCAAGTGCGACGCCACCTATTGTCAGCACAATGGGATAGCATACCCATGTCTGGCGACAATTGTGGCCTTTGTTGCGCAAGTGGGCAGACGCCACATTCCTGATATTTGGGCATTCAAGAACGTTGTGCTCGAAGAGAAGCAAATCGCAAAATTGAAGTAGTCGGACGAAAAATTCACGAACTCGCGACATGATGTTTACAGTCTGTTGTGGAAATGGACTCGGAAGGCGAGGTTGAGACCGGTATCTGTGAGGGATCCAGAGGCCGCTAATCAAAAGCATCTAGTAGTACGAAAGAAAACTCTGCCAAGCACAAAACGAAATTGTTGGTGCTTGCAAGAAGGAGCTCTCACTCAAGCGTATTGGTTGAGATCGTTCTGCAATTTCTAGCATCATCAGTTTGACGGTCGTCGGATGTCGTTTTCCGTTTGGTAATCACCGTGTCTGGCAATCATCTGGATGTTCGAAGCCGGGGCTGACCCGTTTATAATAAAGGGGAGTTGGGTGAAGTGAGGTCCTCACTCATGTTTCTTGGTGGTTAAAAGGAGTGATTTCTGATTCTTGATTCCAGTGGTGAGGTGATGACCGGGTTTAGCTGTTGAGCTGGACCCAACGGTTTAGAAAACTTTCGGTGATTGGTGTTTCCAAAACAAACAGGGGTTCCGCGGCTGAAAGAGCGATACTGGCAACCCTAAGCCCGGTCCTATGAAACTTCTGGAACCCGTGGTGGTGATATTGGATCGAGGAACATTCTTTCATTTCACCTCATCAGTGATTTGTGAATATCAGACCGCGTTCCCAATCAATTTCTTACATCGTTCATGTGATTTCACCCCAAACTCCCAAATTTATTATTGCAGCGAAATGCGACTTCGAGTGGTCCCAACAGACCAATCATTCGATCGAAGGGTCTGAACGTGATAACAAGGAGAAAGGAAGGAGAAAGGATTAATTGTCGACTTGGCAACTCTGGGGAACATGAAAAAAGCCCTTAAAAAGCCGGATTTCCCATCCGCAGATGAAACTAAAACAAACGTACTTTCCATACCGATTTGACGAACGTTTCAGAATTGAAAGTAGAAATGAGGATTACTACTGGTGTAGGCATGAGCATGCTCCATTACTTAACCATCGCTTTGCACGCGGTGCTTGTCTTCCGCGCCGTTCTGGCTCAGAACATCACCATCAAGATTGCGAGTGCCAACTATTTGATACCATCGGCAAATGAAAGTCGTGTGTAAGTCAAATAACGATAATCGCGTTAGGGGGTCATAGAAGAGCATAAGCATGAGCCAGTCATGCCGGGTTTGATTACATGCTGATACGTGTAAACGTTTCCTTCTTTGTAGGGTGTCGGACAACGATAGGGCGTCGGGAATTGATTACAATCGGCAATCGATTTCTCAGCAGGCCTTGCTCGATTACTGGAATGCCAACCACACTTACTACCCCGAGAATGTCAAATTCGAGCTCATTTACGGCGGGTATCAAGGAGTTGATGTAAGCTACTGTGTGTAGCTTTCATTTGATTTACCATGCCTTTCCATTTGTCTATGGTGATTGATGCCGTCCAATACTTCAAAGGGCAATGCGGTACTGGAAGCGATCCGGTTGTTGCAACAAAACGCGTCCGTTTTCATCTCGCACAACCCTTCCACGGTCGTGATTGCAGAGCAGAATGTCATCAATCTTTTCAAGATCCTTCAATGCGGTTCGATTTCTTCCGCTGGTGAGCTTAGCAACAAGGCGGTCGCAAAAACCTTTTTCAGGACTATTGTCGTGGCGTCCGACTGGGGCAAGGCTGTTGGGGATTATCTGGCGAAAACCAACCTTCGTAGGGTGGCGGTTTTGGCCGAGGAAGTGAGCGTCTGCCAGGTAGGTTTCTGTCCCTCTGGGATTTTCTCACATTTCGGGGAACTACAAGGAGTAACTTGAGAAGGACCCTGAAGACACAATATAGCGAACAGATGTATCTTAGGATAAGAACATTTCCTTCCCCCGCACGAAGTTCCGACACTGATAGCACTTCACTTTTCATTTATGATCAGTCGGTGGTTAATGGTTTCACGAAGAGGGCGGCGGAAAACAACATCACGATCTTGGTTACCAGATTCCTGCCTCCAACCTTGTCCCGGCCCACCTACATGGCAAACTATCGGTACAACTATGTAAGTTGAGCTTTCTGTAGAATTACCTCAACGAGAGAAGCCTGTCATCGGCACGAAGATTCTCATCAGTCATGAACTGTTTCTTGATTATTTGCAGAATTGGCGTCAATATATAAAAAGCGTTCGAGATTCTGGAGTTCGGGTTGTGCTCCACTGCGGTTACAATTCGCTCTTCAGTCTTGTGGACGAGGCGAAAGGTAATTCCAGTGAAATGGGTACAATAACGGCGTTTGGGTGTTGGAAAAGTATTGGTAACTGAAAAGCTCCTCTTCCACTATTTTTCAGGGTATATTCAGGGAAACCAGATGCATTTTGTTACGACGACCGTGAACTTGATGAACACTGACGTTTTGAGAGGTATGGTACCTTCGACGATCCACTTCAGAATTACAAGGCGCTTCGAATCTCCTCTTCCCACATAGCACATATTATGTTACTAAACGTAATGAACGTTTCATAATTTTCTTCATTCTCGTACAGCAATCAACTACACGCACATAATTCCGTACCTGTACGGTTCGGTGGCTATCACGTTCACAAGAACGACCCCCGTTCCCAACGCATACCGAAGCTTTATGGAAAACGACGTTCTTGGCCCCACACAATCAAACCCACCCTTCAAAACAAGTTCAGCCATTAGGATAAACAACGATGACCAGATCTATGCAGCATGCCTATACACAATCATCCCTACAATGTCAGAACTCGTGAAGCAAGGATTGGTTACTTGGCAGGACATAGCTGGGGGCAAACTGTTGACGAAGATCACGTACACCAAGTTTCTGGAAGTGGCCAACTCGTTGAATCTTACAGGTCTGGCGGGCCGTCCTTTTGCGTTTGATGTGGCGACAGGGGACCCGACGAACGAGCTGTACTTCTACAATGGTAAGATTGAGTTTGTTTTTGACGTGGGTTGTCTATTATTTGTTAAAATTAAACATTGTTCATCGCCACTTCCATGTCGAGAACAGTTTACAACAAAACCGTTATGAACATCGCACAGACGTGGAACGGCACCAACATGCTCATTGCGGAAAACATTGGTTTATGGTACAACGGTACAATTCAACTCGATAGAGAATTCACTTACCCCGACGGTTCGCAAACGCCCCCGCGGGTCATGCCCTTGACATTCACATACGAGCGGTCTCGACCCTTATTCACCGCCATGTTCGCACTAACGATTGTCTTGGAAGTCCTGTACATAGCTACCTTCGCCGTGATGATTGTATACCGCGATCGGCCTGCCATCCGGAAAAACAGCTTCACCTTCATCTGCGTTATCATTTTGGGGTGTATGCTCATGCAAACATCAACGATTGCGGAATATTTTGGAGACTATGAGTCGGCGGTCACATGTCGGTTGGCTGGTTTCCTGTTCCACTTCGGGTTTGCGATTGCGTTCACCGCGGTTATTTTGAAGGTTTGGCGTATCTACCGGATTTTCAACAACAAGAAAGGGACGTCCCTCAAACTACACGACACGACGCTTTTGATGTACTGGGGTATCTTCATGGTGGTTTTCTTGGTCATTCTTTTTGCCCAGATATTCGCGGGTGGTGTGGCACTGAAAGTGAGCGTGGAAGTCATTGACGACATCACAAGTCGTACTTGGTCTGTCTGTGGTGCAGACCCGATAGAATACATCTTGCTGGTGCTCGAGCTTCTGATGCTCCTGGCCGGAACTGTGTTCGCGATCCAGACGAGGAAAATTCGTGACGATTACTCAGAAGCCAACAGCTTGGGCATTTCGATTTACAACTCGTTGTTTATCATTATCGTTGCCTTTGCTTTGAAATCCGTCATCTCGTCGACGCCTGACATCACGGTAATGTGTCTCGCTCTTTCCACACACGAAACATTAATTTCATACACGTTTCACTTCCAACCTACCTGCTGATTTTGTTCAAATCTCATGATACTTGTCGCCGATCGCCAAACGCGGGCATACAGGTCGTGATCAATTTTCTCCGTTCAGCGTTGATCACCTTCACTGTCGTCGCTGTGATGTGTATTCCGAAGCTGTTCGTTGGACATGCACCTGAATCTCAATCTCCCGAAATGGGTGTGAAGTCAAAACCATCTTCCGGTCTGCGCGCGCCTTGGTCTACAGGTGGAACAATCATCAAGTCAAGCAAGAACAACGGCAGCAACCCAGGCGCGCACGGGTCTTCTTCTTCAAGCTCCGCTGGAAATTAGTATGGTTGAAGTTAACAATCGGCGGATCCTCCAATTTTTCCGTGCTTTAATTGTTCTTTGGGCCCTTTGTTTGTTTCCGATTATTGTTGTGATTGGCTTTTAAGTTGTACGGTCGCGAGCTATA